GCCCCCGGGCTGCTGGGGAGTCTGCCCTGTGCTGCCCCAGGGCTGGGGCAGAGAGCAGGGAGTGGCTGGCCCTGTCTGCATCCCTGGACTGTCTGGGGCCCTGGCCCACCCCTGTCGCTGCCCCTCCAGGCTTGGCATCTGGCCAACTGTGATTGCTGAGATTCCATTGAGCTCGACTCATTGTTCTCCAGGGTCCAGGCTGCAGGGGCAAGGTGGACTCTGACCTGGATCCCACCTGCACTGCGTCGTGTCCCCTCACAGCTCCCCACCTCCCCGGGGCCCCTTAGGCTCACTTTCCCAGGCGCTGCATTTTCCAGAGAGGATGTAAACTCCCACGTTTGTAAGGTGACCTGGAGACTGACTCTAGAAAGTTGGGGTGTGGTGGGAGCGCCTTACAGACAGGCAGGAGTCATCCAAGAGACCTCAGGACAGCACCCCAGGCTGGGGACGGAGCCAGATGGATGGAGGAGCCGGGCCTGGGCCCGGTGGGCCGCCGTTCTCTGCCGGCCTCTGCCCCCTCTGAGCCCAGCTAGGGGCTGGGGGCTGGGGGGACGCAGACACTCCAGGCCCTTCCTGCCCGGGGAATTCTGATCCGGAGGGCGGAGGGCATCAATGATTAACTCGCCTGGCACTGCTGATGTGGGCTCTGGCCCACGAGGGGGCGGTGAAGGCCGGCCACAGCAAAGCTGTTTGGATTGTCGCTGTTGGGAGCCTTTCTGCGCCTGCTGGTAAACAGCGGCCTGCAGGGCACTCGGCGCCCCACACGTGGGCTCTGCCAAAGGTCAGGATGCTGGGGGGAGGGCAGAGGCCGTGGCAGCTAGGGACACCCCTCACCCATCCCCTCTCTGAGTTCGGGGAAGATGTCACTGGTCAAGGGACATCGTGAATCCCAAATCAGCCGATAACCCCAAGCCCAAGGCCGAGCAGCATCACGGCTGAGGAGCCCTGACGCCCTGAGCGTCCCTCGTGGGCCTGGCTCCTGGCGGGCGTAGCAGGGTGAGTAGAGCCTCGGAGCCTGGCAGCTGAAGGTGCCAGGACATCCCAGGAGGCCACCGGAGGGCCTGGCAGCCAAGCCTCCTCTGGAGGGGTGATGTCCATGGCTTCTTGTGCCCTTGGCCTAGACCCCCTTCCTGAGCGAGTTGCCACACGTTCACAAGTTCACTGTTTTATAGCCTGAGCTGTCCTGGGACGGCCCTTACAGATGAGTGTGTCTCGTGGAGCCACTGCCAGTGACTCAGCTCCCTGCCTGCACGGGCTGGGGACAAGGCCCGGGCAGGGCGGCTTCTGCTTTTGTAGGGCCTGAAGCTTGGGGGCCTGTGCTAAGAAAGAGACTACAATTTACAAAATCAGAATTAGATGAGAAAGCAGGTGTTTATTTATTTGTTTGTTTGTTTCGTTGTCGTTAGTTTTTTTGGCTGCACCGCGCAGCACGTGGGATCTTAGTTCCCCGACCAGGGCTCGAACCCATGCCCCCTGTGGTGGAGGCTTAACCACTGGATTGCCAGGGAAGTCCCCTTGTTTTTGTTTTTTTGGGGGGACATGTGTTTATTTAGAATGACGAAGGAAATCACAACAAACTGCTAGTTCTTAAAAGCCAAGAACATTACAAATCCCAGAAAAATATTTTTTGTTCGTTGACTTCCTGACCCTCCCTCAAGGCTGTTTTCCCCAACACTTTTGGCTGCTTCGTGTAATGATGTGTCGGCAGAATTTTGCACAGAGCGAATAGAACAGAAGGAGAGTTTAGCCTTCTCTTCGGCTGGTTTTGCCTGTCCACCCACACGCTCCCCAGGCGGGGACACCAGGGTCTGGGCCGTGTGGGGCTCGCTGGCCCTGCACCTTCCTGCCGCCCCGAGGCGTGGGGTGTCCCCGGAAGCCAGTGTCCCACCGTCCACTAGCAATAGCCTCGCTCTGGGTTGAGGTGACCGTGCACATCACCTGCCCCGTCAGTGGATTCCCCAGGTTTACATGGACACCCCAGTGCCACCCACTGGGAGGGCAGCTAGAGTGAAGAGTGGCGTGCCGGCTTCCTGCGGCTGCCCTGACGCATGACCACAAACGGGGGCCTAGAGCAGCAGAAGCATGTCTCGAGAGATGCTCCATCACTGCAGGCCGGTGTGTTCGTGTCTCTGCTCTGTCCTTACCCGGCCTTCTCTGGGTGTCAACTCTCTTCTGCATCTGTCTTACAAGAGTGCGAGTGGTGGCACTCAGCACCCACCCGCATAAGCCAGCATCATCTCATCATCCCAGGACCCTAACTCAATCACGGCCTCAAAGACTTTGCATTTCAGGTCCTGGAGGTCAGGAGGGGACACCTTTGAGGGCCTGACGCAGAAGGGTGGGCGGCTCTGAGCCTCCCTCAATGCCCAGGGTCTGGAGTTCAGGCCTCCTTGCCGTCAGGGCTGGCGAGTCCAGACCTTTGTGGAGGCAGGTGTGTGTCCTGGTCACACTCCAGGCATCTCGGGAGGGTGGCCGGGCTGGCAGTCACACACGGATGTCCCCTCTGTCTACTGAGCCCCGTCACTCCTGCAGCAAAGCATATGGAGCCCCTAAAGGGCGCTTCCTGGGTTGGGGGGGGCTGTTCAAGGTGCTCCCCCTTGGGTCTCCTTCTCTGCCTGGGGAGACAGCACCACGAACATCCTTGGGCCAACATAACTGTGTTTACTGGGGGTTGGCAAGAGCTGGGCCTGGGATTTACTTGGGGCAGTTTATTACGCAGCAGCAGGAGACTGATACACCGGGCAAAGGGTGAAGGCTGGGAGCAATGTCGTCGCCCAGGGTGACCACTGACTCTGGTCCTGAAGGTCTTACATGTTTCAGCCAAGGGTGCTTCTCGAGGGGGGACCCTGCTGTTCTCGCCTCTGTGTCCAGGTGTTCGACATAGCCAGGCGCGTGGGAGACGCCCAACTGAACCTCAGTGAGGGGTGCATATGCCCGGAGAAGTTTAGCCGACTTGACCAAGGTCACGGAGCTTGCAGGAAGCAGGGTGGGGCAAAAAGCCAGGGCCCCAGTGCAAAGATTCTTCTGGGAGCCTTTGCTGAGGAGTTGTTTGTTTCCAGGAAACACTTGTGACTTCTCAGGGTTCTCTTAGAACACACACCATTTCTGCCCAGTGCCTCCTTAGATGCATGTTTCTGGACATGGAGGCTGCAGGCAGAGGGCCTGGGCTGGACCCTGAAGGTGTCACACACAGTCCAGGTAGGGAGAAACGGTAACGGGGAGCGTGTGGGAATGGCACCAGCATCTGGACATCAAGGAGGGCTTCCTGGAAGTGGTATCCTGAGCTGGGTGAGAAGCGGAAAGGAGTGGAGGACTTCCAGGCAGAGCCAGCAGCGTGCCCATGGGCAGAGCGGTGTGGACGTTCTGGGCAGTGGGGGAAGACGAGTGGGCACGTGTGTCCGAGTTGCGAGAGGGCCGGGGCCCCCTGAGCCTCGGTGGCGGAGGCCTGGAGCTGTCTGGGTGAGAGTAGCAGTCCTGACACGGGGCAGCTGCCCATCCTTGCCAGGGCCCGGGGCAGCTGCAGGCCCGTCTGCCCAGCCTCTGACTTCCCTGAGGGCCAGAGCTCACCCAGCCAGCTCCCAGCCCCCCACCCCTGCCGGGGCCAGGGCCCCAGTGAGGAGGGAGGGGCCGGAGGCGGAGGGGGTGTGTGTGTGGAGGGGGGCGGTGCTGGTGGTGGCCACCAGCCTCTGACCCCGCTTCCCTGCCCCACTCGCAGTGCTCGTCCCCGGCAAGGGCCTGGCCGCCGTTCTGAGGACACTGCCCATGTTCCACGATGAGGGGCACGCCCAGGCCTGTGGCCTCCCCGAGGACACCTTAGTGCTGCCGTGAGTGTCGGCTCCTCGGGGGTCCCGGGCAGGGACGATGGCCAGCTGTCATGGGGTGGGGGGCATCCTGAGACTGGCGCGTGCCGGGCTGTGGCTTCTTAGTGTGTCCATGGCGAGCTGCTAGACGATGCTTCCCCACGGGCTCCCACTTCGATGGCTCTAGAACTGACCACAGCCCCCTTTCAAGTGAGCCCCGTGGGGACTCAAGCCCGTGAGGAGAGGCAAGGGCTGGCCCCAGGTGCCCCGCCTGGTGAAGGTCCCTCTGTTTCCCAGCTCGTGGCCCAGGCTGCCCGCTGCTCTTCGCTGCTGGCCGGCTGAGCCGGGAGTTGCCCTCCCGGTCGCTGACCTCCCTCCTGCCAGCAGCCCTCCTCCCAGGGTCGCTCTGGCTCACCGAGGGGAGGGGACACTGCTCTGGAGCAACCTGGCCTGGCCTGTCCTTGGCCCCTCCCGGGACCACTGTCCTTGCTCCTGGGGCCTCGAGTGGAAGGGAGCTGGTGGGGATGCAGAGCCCACGGCCACGGCCCTGGGTGCGGGGGCCCGGCTGGGCAGAAGGGAACGGGGCCGCCGAGCGAGCGGGCGGGTGGGCGCAGAGCACGAGCCTGCTGTCCACCTCCTGCAGGCCTGCCAGCCCCGCCTGCCCCGACCAGAGGGTCATGTACACGGTGCTGGAGTGCCAGCCTCTCTTTGACTCCAGCGACATGACCATCACTGAGTGGGTTCAGATCGCCCAGACCATCGAGGTGAGGTGACGGGGGAGTGTGGGCGGGGCTGGGGCCAGGGGCCCAGTGGGTGGCACCTCAGCTGCAAGGCTCCCAAGGCCCGTTTAGCTGCACCCGTGAGGGTGGGCATCGAGGGCCACGTCCGCTTTCCTGGCGAGGAAGTGGCCTGGGTGGCCGTCTCGATTTTTTCATTCAGTCAGTTTGTCCCCGTCAGTATCCTGGGCTGAGACGCGCACTGCAGACTTCATGCCTGACCCACCCCTGCCCCATCCACCCGTGCCCACGCCCACCCTAGACCGTATAGTCTTCGTGGATTTAGGGCCCACAGGAGGGCACGGAGCCGGCAAGGGCCTCGTGGTTTACACACAGCGTGGACGCCTTACCTGCAGCCCGAGCCGCCCTCCATCAGCTTTCCTCCCTGTGCTGCCCCTGCCACCAGCACCAGCCCCTATTCCTGCCCAAGCCTGGCCCCCGCCAGGCCCATTTCTCACCTTCCTCCCTTAAGACAGCCCGCTCCCCACAGAGAGGCTTGTCACACAGCCTGCCCCTTCCTTGCAGCTGGGCGCTGGCCCCAGTTCCACACTTGTCTCGTTCTGCTGGGGCAGAACGGCTTCCAGGGCCTCACCCCTCTCACGGTGAGAGCCTGGGACCGCGTGAGGCCCTGGGCCCGGCCCTTGTGTCTCTGAATGTCCGTAGCCGTGATCTGGGGCAGTCTCCCTGCTCTGTGGCCAGCAGCATCCTACAGTTGGGGCCTGACCGCTTCTCTGACCGCCTAGGGCTGCTGTCCTGGCTGCAGAGGCCAGCCATGCGCAGATTCACTGTGTGGCCAGCAGAGGGCGCCCCAGCCTGCCACGTGGCTCGGCTCCCCTGCAGCTACGGGCCCAGCCTGGCTTGGTCTTTCAATGGGCCACGAGAGATGGTCCCCTGAGGTCCCCTTGTCTCCCGGGACTGTGCCCCTCGCAACCACAGCCCAGGCCAGCTGCCCACTGATGCCCAGACTTGGCTGCCCGCTAGGAGGTGGTGGCCGGGGGTGCATCCCTGCAGAGGTGGCCTGTGTGCCTGGAGGCACCTTCCCCATGTCCGCCTGTCGGCATCCTTCCCACCTCCCACGTCACAGCTGGCTCCCAGCACTGGCTGTGCCTTGTGTCCGCGCCTGGCCCTCCCACTGGACCGAGAGGCTGGCGGGCTTGCTCACCCCTCAGCCCCTGCTGCCCCAGGGGCAGTGGTCACTGAGCAAGGGGCCCTCCAGGAGCACCGAGCTGACCAGTGTGCTCAGGCATTGCACGGGGGGGCCTTCCCATCCTCAGATAAGAGTGTTCAGAGACCCCGATCTGAGTTCTCCCGTGGGCGAGGGGTGTCGCGGGGAGGCCCGGGAGGACGGGAGGAGGCTGTCCTGGGCGCTAGGAGAGCACGGGCGCCGGGACTCCAGGCAGAAGCTCCATTTCCCGTGGGCTTCCCCGGCCAGCGGTGGCCCGGGTCCCACTGGCACCTCCCCGGGTCCCTACAGCTGTATGTGGTGCCCTTACCTTCCTTTTCCTGGTGGCCCCGAAGGCCAGGCCTGCCTGAGCTCGCCGCCCCTCCTGCAGAGACACTACGGGCAGTACCATGGCTTTGTGGTCATCCATGGCACCGACACCATGGCCTTCGCCGCCTCCGTGCTCTCCTTCATGCTGGAAAACCTGCAGAAAACTGTCATCCTCACTGGTGCTCAGGTAACAACCCAGGCTGCCCAGTGGGCATAAGGTCTGGGCCTTCCTGAGGCCACAGGGCAGTTCAGCGCTGCTGGGGGCCCAGGTGCGTCCCTGGGCTCCCTGCTCGGTCCGGCAGCTCCCCGAGCTGGTTCCTGCTCTGCCTGAGCCGGCCAGCGCTGGTCAGTGCCCTGGTCCTGCTTGGTGCCAGCCCTGCCACCCTGGGGCTGGGTCCACAGCCTGCTGCCGGCCTTGTCCAGCTGCCCTCCTTTTGTCGCTGTCGTCCTCTTCCCACTGTGGTTCCCACCGATGCCATCCCTGGGCACCTGGGCACATGCTACCCCCTCCTCTCTCACCCCGACCCAGCACAACCCCCAAAGCCAACAGGTGGAATATTCTAGAAAACTGCTGGATTTGAAGGTGGGTGGTGGGGGAAGCCTGGACCCCCATCAGGGCCTGCGTCAGAGGCTGCCTGCGGTGGCGCCATGGGGCCAGCCCTCCCCAAGGCCCTGGAGAGCCTTCCCCGGGGTCAGAGGTCGGGAAATCACGTTGCCAGGTGCTGACCCGGCTGCCTGCCCTGCTCTGTCCATGGTCCCCGCGGGTGTCACAGTGGGGCGACCCTACTCAGGGGAGGCCCAGGGCCGCACCGCACACACCCCACTGCTGCCAAGCACGTCCCACTCAGAGCTCGAGTGGAGGGATGGGGTGCAGGCTGACCCTGGCCCTTCCCAGACCCTCCTGAGCCCCTGGTTGTAGGTCGCCATCAGGCGTCTCCCAAGGGACGAAGGGCAGGGTTTTGAGCACTGCCGGCCCCGGGAAGGATCATGCTTGTGCCTTTCTAACCCCCGCGCCGGCCCTAACGAAGCGTGCCTGTTATAACGCAGGGGAGACTGAGGCTCAAGGCGCGGGGCTGCTGGCCCACTGCCACGCCCCTCCTGAGGACCCAGGACTGTGGCCCCAGGCCAGGGCTCGTCCTCTGGAGACCCTGAGCCCACCCCTGCCCAGCCGGCCCGTCTGCACACCCCGCAGCCGTCCAGCCCTTTGTTGCCTTCCTGGGCAGGAGTGGTGGGGATCTGGGTTCGGGTCAGAGTCAGCCCTGGGGGCATTGGCTCTCACGTAGACACGGGAGCAGGTCTGGGACCCGGTGCTCGGAGGCCCCGCGTGAGGCTTCTGGCCATCGCGTCCACCCACGGTCAGCTCCTGGCCACCCGGTCCAGAACTGGCCGGGGCAGTGAGGGAGCAGGGCCTCTGTGCCCCGGGGCCACGGAGCTGGGCTGGGCAGTGGCGGGTCCCTGGGCAGGAGCCCATCCGGCCGGCCTCCGGCAGCGGGCACTGGGGCCTGCGGGGAGCAGAGGGTGCTGGGGTGTGGGCCAGACTGGCATGGCCAGCAGGTGCAGCTCCCCGAGCAGCGATCCTCACCGACCCGAGCCTGCCTGCCCCCTCTCCTGGACCCCTGCCCGGGCTCCGCATTGGGTCCCTCCTACGCTGCCTGAGCCTCAGCCCCTCTCCTCTCCGTGGCCTCTCCCCCAGGTGCCCATCCACGCCCTGTGGAACGACGGCCGTGAGAACCTGCTGGGTGCCCTGCTGCTGGCTGGCCAGTACGTGATCCCCGAGGTACCTCCTCCTGCCTCCTTCCTGCGGCTCCTGGGAACCCAGGCCCGGGGCTCGGGGTGTGGTGCTCAGGGGGACACACGGGGGCGCGTCTGGAAGGGTTTAAAGATTTGTCTTTCCCCTTGAACGTGAAGTATACAGTAGAGAAAATGGGAAAATAAGAGAAGAGGCGGCAGGAAACAGTCACTGCCTCTCGCCCCCCGAGACGCCTGCTGCTGGCAGCGTGATGGATTTCTCCGGGTCACGTACATATATGTGTGGTTCACGTATATTTGTCTCATGCCTGTGATACGGTGTACGTTTGTTTACACCGCGTGCACACGTGCGTGCGCGTCCCCGTCAGTACGTCGGACGCGCGTGGTTTTGGGGCGCAGTCTTCCTCCTCATCTTCCCCGGCCACGTGGTGACGCAGGGAGACGTTTACAAGATCCCCCCTCACATCCCAGGGGACGGGGAGAGGAGCCCTGGGAGGGGGCCGCCTGCCCTGGGGAGGGGCTTCACGGAACGCCGTCAGGGCCCGTCTCACTGCCGAGGTGCCCAGCCCACCCCACGGGAACAGCTCCTGAGCAGGGCGGGGGCTCCCCGGCGCTGAGCCGCTCCCCGCCCCCCGCAGGTCTGCCTGTTCTTCCAGAACCAGCTGTTTCGGGGCAACCGAGTGACCAAGGTGGACACGCGCAGGTTTGCGGCCTTCTGCTCCCCCAACCTGCCCCCTCTGGCCACCGTGGGCGCGGATGTCACAAGTAAGCGAGCGGGGGTCACGTCGCGTCATGGCGTGCAGGGAGCTGCTGCGGGGACTGTGCGGGGCCTCCTGGGTGGGAGCGCACGGCTCGGGGTTCTGCCCTGGGCTGCGGAGAAGCCGGGGGCCAGGGGCCGCTGCTCAGAGCGGGGAGGCCCCAGCAGGTAACCCCGGCTTGGAGCCGGGGGGGCCATCCCGGGCGGGGCCAAGTTTGGGCGATCAGCCTCCTGTGCCTTTCCTCGGCCACGTGGCCCCGGGCCCAAGAGTCCCTCGGTGATGGTCAGTGGCTCTGCCACTCGCCTCGGCCTCCCGGGGACGTGGTTCTGGTAGTGTGACCTCGTCCTGGGGACTTTCAGGGGTGTTTCAGGCCGCCCAGCCCCCGTCGTGGGGTTGCCCGACGCCTCCCGTGGGTGGTGGACCCTGAGCCCTCCCCCCGGGGGACCCCCGACGCTGGCCCTGCTGAGGAGCCGTCTCCAGCCCAGTCCTCGGCGAGCACCACTGGGTTGGTACTCAGGCCTCACCCGACTCAGCCGCCCTCATGGTCGTAGAGATTCTCTCCACCCAGGATGTCCGCTCTCCTGTGTGTCTCCGGGGCCTCCCGGCCCCGCTCCGGGTCCGCCGTGGGCATGGCCAGCCCCTCTGTGAGGTGGCGTGACGGCTTCGCTCCGGTGGCCTTGCTGTCCGCCTGGCCCCTGCCGTCTACATGCTGCTCCCTCACCCCCCGCCCCCCGTGTCTCCTCCTGTGCCTTCGAGACGTGGGCATCCAGGCGTGGTGGCGGGCAGGACCTCTGCCAGGTGGTTATGGGGCTACAGCAGGAGGAGGGAAGGACCATGCAGGGAGGCATTGCGACCCCGAGCCCTGACTTCATTCTGGGGGTCTTACCCTGCATTTCCCGCCCCCTGCCCACCCACCCTGCTTGCTGGAGTGGCCTCGGGGGTTGGTAAGGCCCAGAACGGTCAGTGCGTCTAAGGTGTGTATAGCACGCCTGGGTTCTCGGGGCCAGAGTCGGGAAGGCTTCCTGGAGGAGGTGGCCCATGTGCTGGTGCTGGCAGATGGATCGCTTCCTTGCTGTGGTGAGCAGTGGCGCTCAGCCCCTCCTGCCCTGGTGCCAGCAGCTGAGGAAAGAGGAGTGGGCGGCCGCTGTGCAGGCCTGCCTCCCCCGTGGGGGCTGAGTCACACCTTCTCTGGGGCTCAGAGGGGAGCTCCCAGGACGCAGCCCCCTGGCAGGTGCGGAGTTCACCCTGGATCCCCAGGCCCCTACCTGTGCCACGCCAAGCCCGCGCCGGCCTTGAGGTGCAGGGCATGCTGGTGCAGGCTGGGCCGGGCGGCTGGCCCTGAGAGGAGAGGCCGCCCTTGGACCCCCAAGCCTGTGATCCCAGGAGGATTGTGTCCTCCCAGCCAGAGTGCCCGTGTGGCGTGTGAGGGCCCCGGGCTGGTACCGGCATCTGGTGCTGAGAAACACTAGCCTCTGCCCAGGGTGTGCCCGGCGGGGCCCCTGGGGAGGCGGGGAGCTGGGGGCTGCCACCAGCACTGGGGCGGCCGGCGCCCTCTCACTGATTTTTGTTGCGTTTTCCCTCCCCTCTGTGAGGCCGTCACAGACGAGGGGCTTGGGGCTCGGGGTGGGGAGCTGTGCCGGGTGAGGAGGCGTGCACGGCGGGGGGTGGGGAGTGGGTGCTGGCACCGCCCTTCCCTGAGTGGGTGAGGCACGTGTGGTCACACTGGGCCTCCAGGAGCCCCAGGTCCTCGCTGTGCAGAAGCCCTGGCCCCAGGGAGGGGGAGTCAGGCCGACAGGCTCGGGCCAGCGGGGTCCCGGCAGCTGAAGGGGACGCGGGACCCAGTGTCCCACCTGTGCACGTGGGCTCCGCTGCGTGGCCCTGCGGTGGCACTGTTAGGACCAAGCAGGGACGGTGGTCCTCACACCACCTTCCCTCCTCTCGGCCCCTCTGCGCATGGGGACAGCGGTCCCCTGGTGTCCAGTAGGCCCAGGTGGAAGGACTTGGGGTCCCATGGGCTCTGAGGGGGATGGGCTGGCCGGGCGGGGCGGCGCGGGCCTGCTCTGTCTCTGTAAACCCCCCTCTGCAGCCATAACTCCTGGCTGGTAGTCTCGCTCCCACCCGCTGCCGTCTCATCTGCTCGCCCAGCTGGGGCCAGGGCCCGAAATTGAAGGACGCCTCTGGCTGCTGACGGATGCTGCGGCCGCCCTCCTCCCAAGCCCATCCCCCAGAGCCCTCGCGTCTCCCACCCTCCCAGCTCCCTGTGAAAGGGCAGCATGTGTCTGGAATGTTCCTCAGTTTATTATCATATGAGAATTGCTCTGGTGGAAACAGCAGGAGGCCCGCAGGCTTGCATCCCCCTCTACGGGACCGGGGTGGCGGAGGAGCCCTGGGCGGGGGTCCTGGAACCCGCATTCCCCTCCGGGCTCTGCACTTGACCCTGGGCCGCCTTGGGCAAGGCCCTTTCCCTCCCTGGGCCTCAGTTTCCCTGGGCTGGACAACGGGGCCTCCTTGGTACCTGCTCCCTCAGCCCGGCCTCAGCCTGCTCGAGGCTGCCATGTGCGAGGGGCCGAGAGAATGGGACCCTGGGCTCGGTGCTGGGCTCCTGAGGGTCGAAGGCCAGGCCTGCCGCCCAGACGCCTGCCCCCTGCCCATGGCTGGCGCAGAAGGCCTGGGAGGCCTCTGGTGAGTTGGTCCCCGCAGAGCAGCAGCCTTTAGACCCACGGAGAGCCTGATCCTCTGGGGAGTTCTCGGCATGGCCGGCACTGACCCCACGGAGCTGCCCCCTTCACTCTCCACGGGGCTCAGGAGCCACCCTGGGCGTGGAGAGCGGGCTGGGCTCACGTTAGGCCTCTGAGACTTTGGGGTCAATGAGATGGAAGTTTTCTTTCCCCAAAGGTTAGGGATCCAGAAGACTCATTCATTCATTCATTCACTGACTTGCTGGGCCGTGGGCCAGGTCGGTGCCCAGTAAGGGGCTCGTGAGGCTGGCTGGTCAGAGGATGCCGCCCTGACTGCTCCTGGGACCCAGGATTGCAGATTCCTGGTGCTCCCCCAGCTCTGCCCCGTCTGCTGTGCTTCTTGCCGTTGCACGTGCCGTGCCCTCTGCCTGGAAGGCCCTTCCTCCACCTGCCCTCTCCCCTCTCCTGCACTGGCGTGGCCTGCTGGGCTCTGGAGGCCTCCGTCCCTGCAGGGTCCTCTTCATCCCCTGGACCCCACGCCCGCCACGGGGGCTGGCTCAGGCTGGAGCTGCGCCCTTCGCCTGAGCGAGCTGGGAGAGGGGGCAGGGGACGGGGCTCCGGAGGCACCAGACAGAGGCCGGGGGGGCCGGGGAGGCTGGGCCGGGGCCGTGGCCTGCAGATGGCCGGAAGGTGTGCATTCCGTCCCTCTGTCCTCACAGTCAACTGGGAGCTGGTGCGGAAGGTCCGTGGGCAGGGCCGGCTGGTGGTGCACAGCAGCATGGAGCACAACGTGGGCCTGCTGCGCCTCTACCCCGGGATCCCCGCCACCCTGGTAGGGACCCCGGCTCAGGTCTCGCGGTGCCTGCCTCCTGTACCCCCTCCCCTCCCCACTTTCATGTCACTGGGACCTGCACGCCCTCCGCTGCATTCTCAGCCCGTTCACCTTATTTGTGACCTGGGCTTGTCCCCGTGGACATCACAGCACCGGGTTCCGAGGGCTCCTCTGAGGCTGATGGAGTGTGGCCCTGGACTCTGCTCTTTCTTGTGGCCGCTCTGGTGGTCCCTGCCGTCCACTCCTTGGCCACCAGCTGTTCCTGGGGCGGACATGGCGCCTGCCTCCGTCCTGCCCAGTGAGTCAGGCCCAGACGCTGGGCTGCCAGTTGGATGGCGGGGTCTCTGGGCATCGCTGGCACTGAGTGCGGGGCTGCAGGGGCTCAGACATGCTTCAGTGCTGTGGCCGGCGGGGCACTGCAGCCCTCTCTTCTCCCCGACACACGTGGCTCCCCAGCTGTGTCGCTATACCTGGGGTGGCCTGGCAGCGGGCTGCCTTTAACCTCTGGGCCACAGTCTGAACTGGAGCCTGCTCCCCTCCCAGCGTGCTGGGGACAGACGGGGCAGAGCCGCGTTGGGACCAGAAGGGGTTTGCTGGAGGCGCGCTCCAGTGAGGGCTGCCCTCGAAGATGAGGGTCGTCCCAGGGGCTGCTGGCCGGATCCCACGCACGGGTTTCACGTCGTG